CTAAATTCACATCATGTATTCTTGTGTGTACATGTGCATATGTTGGGAGTTAGGTGCACGTGGAGACTAGAGGATAACCTCAGCTGTTTCTTCCAGGTGACATCTACCTTATTTTTTAACTTTTTGTTTTTCTTTGTGAATTTCACATTGGGTACCCCAATCCCACTCATCTCCCCGACCCTCCATATCTGCCCCTGCAACACCCTCCCAAAGAAAACACAAAATTAAAAGTTAAAAAAAAAAAGAAATCTCACTGCAGAAGCTCTGGTGTGCTGCAGTGTGTCACACAGTATACCTTTTACCCACACATCTTTTCGTGCAAATGGCAAATGTTCACTGGTCTGGTTTGAGACCTCTGGCTTCTGCTACACTCTCAATACTAGATCCTCACCAGGACTCTTCTCAGATATCTTGTAGTTGCCCTGTGTCATGGAGATCCTGCTGCTTTGGATCTGGAGGACCAGCCCCTTCACACACTTGAGCAGTTCGTAAATGGGGTAGATGTTGGGGTGGGTCATCTCAACGCTGTGCATCTGGGCCTAGGAGGTCAGTGAGTTGGTCAGCCTACCAGCTCTTGCTATGTCTGTGCCACCAGGGACAGCTCTCCCACTGTGCTCAGGTGGCAAGGGGTAGGGTCAGCTCTCCAGTTCTCACACTCTGGCTGGAGTCGGCTCAGGGGAGAGGCCAGCTCTGCACACAACATGGCCCCAGACAGCAGCTCAGACCAGGGATATCCGAATGGCCTTCAGTGGTAATATGGGCCACTACACAGACTCCTGCTGATGCAGGGCCACTGGCCCAGACATGGCCCTTAGTGGCAACAAGGGCTGGAACTTTACCATGGCCTCAGGTGGCAGCACAGGCTACTCACATCGGGCTGTTCCTCACCACCCTCGAGTTTCCAGTTCCACCACTCTTCATGGTGCACACACCATTCTGCTTCTATTTCTCTCCCATCTCTCCACATACTTTCTCCCCATATCAGTCCCCGCCCACCCTCCTACTTCCACATTGAGGCAGGCATGCCTCTGGGTGTCTTCTGACTACCCATTGCCACATGACAGTAGCTACTTTTTTTTTTTTTAAGCAGGAGCTTTCATTGGCTTGCAGATTGTTAAGTATGCTATACCAAATGGCCTGTGTACTCCAGGGACCTGCTTGTTTCTGCACCACTGAGCCCAGTTTTTCTTCTTTTTCATGTGGTTTTTGGTATATCAATTCAGCTCATCATGCTTGCAATGCAAACAAGCACTTAACAAACTGAGCTGTTAGCCCAGCCACATACAAAACATATATTTTTTAATTTTTTTATTTATTAAAATTTATTCACTTTGTATCCCAGCTGTAGCCTCCTCCCCTTGTCCCCTCCCAGTCCCACCCTCCCTCCCTCATCTCTTCCCATGCTCCTTCCCCAGTCCACTGATAGGGGAGGACCTCCTTCCCTTCCATCTGACCCTAGCCTATCAGGTCTCATCAGGACTGGCTGCATTGTCCCCCTCTGTGGCCTGGTAAGGCTGCTCCCCCCTCAGGAGGAACTGATCAAAGAGCCAGCCACTGAGTTCATGTCAGAGACAGTCCCTATTCGCATTATTATGGAACCCACTTGGAGACTGAACTGCCATGGGCTACATCTGTGCAGGGGTTCTAGGTTATCTCCATGAATGGTCCTTGGTTGGAGTATCAGTCTCAGAAAAGACCTCTGGGCCCAGATTTTTTGGTTCTGTTACTCTCCTTGTGGAGCTCCTGTCCCCTCCAGGTTTTTCATCTCCCCCTTCTTTCATAAGATTCTCTGTACTCTGCATAAAAATTTAGCATCTCAATAGAGACAATTTATGGAGTTAGAAGATTAGGTCTAAAAATATAAAATGTCTCATTGAGAATTTGCAAATATTGAAAAAATAAAACTAATAATAGTTTAGATGTACTGAACTGGACCAAGTAAATTTTCTTAATTTCTCGTTTTGTTGTTTGTTTTTAATTTTGAAATTGTGACTATGATAAAAATTTAATTACATATGGGGTTCACGTTATATCCTTTCTTTTTGTGTGAGATGAGATCTTAGTATCTAACCTGATTGGCTTGAAACTACTGATCTTCCTGCATCAGGCTCTCAAATGTTGGGATTATAATTATATGCCACCTTCCAGGCTTACAATAAGATTTTCATAGCACTGTACAGCTAAGGCACTCCCTTAAATTATCTTCAAGGAATTATCTTCAAGGAATAATGCTTAATAATGTACTCCCTTCAAAGAAATTGTTCTCAACATCCCTTGTGACAAAAGCCATCTTTGGCCAGACATATCCTACTATACTAAGGCTACCTGGATGTTACTGGATGCTCATTTGTGGTACCATATTCTGTGTAACCTGTTGAAGAATTCTGGGGCCACCCTACATTCACATAACCCTCTCAGTATCAACATGCTTTGAAAAAGTCCTGAAGACATAACTTTTGAAAAAGTACTTCTGAAAATCAAATTTAAAACCACAAAACAAAAAAACACTGATTTTGAAAACAGAAAGCTGCCTCCCAGGTAAGAGGGCTAGCCACACAAGCATGACAAGGCAAGTTCAATTCCCCAAACTCACATAAAATCCAGATGTTCTGGCCAACAGCTGTAATCCCAGTGCTCTCTAATACGACAGTTGGAAACAGGAGAATCAACCTAGAACTCAGGAGCCACCTCTACTGGAGTACAAGGCACAGCGGCAGAAACTATAAGAGAAAACTCTGCCTCAAAGATGTAAGGCATACCTACATCCACATACAGGTACACAAACACACACACATGAAAAAGAAAATGGAAAAAAAGAAACTAATTTTTGAAAAATGAGTAAGAATTCATCTTGAATTAGAAAGAAGCTGGACATGGTGTCACACATCTTTAGTCTCAGCACTCCGGAGGCAGAGACAGACATATCTCAGGGAGTTCCAGGATGATCTACATAGTGAGATCAGGACATCCAGGACCACATGGAGAAACCTTGTCTACACACACACACACACACACACACACACACACACACACACACACACACTAGGTTTCAGGTTCTCATGACACTAAAATCAAATGGTAACAAAATGTAATCAGGTAATATTCTCAGTAAGAACCATACATCCAAGTAATAGCAAGGTGGACATGATTCCAGGGAAATAATCAGATGCCACTAAATGGTAACTGGAAACAAAGGTGACTTTATTTGCTTGTCTGAAAAGGAAGGGCATATCACTCAAGTAAAACGTTCTACTTATTGTACCTGAATGGACCAGTTACAGAGCAAAAGGAGGAAGGACGCCTAAACTGGCAGCATGCTGAGGTCAGATCTGCTTGGCTCTGAAGGCTGAGCTTAGGTTCTTTGCAACTGCTCACTGGGCCAGTTCACTTCTTACAAGTGCAGGCACCCACTCCCGGCCATGTCCAGGATGCTCCTCCTGGTCAGCTTGCTGTCACTCTGGTGGCAAATGTGACCAGCTTGCTTGAGGAGGTCAAATCTTTGTTGAAGAGCACCAGCAGGACCTCAGTGTCGGTTTATGCCAGGTAACAATCACTGCTACCTGTCCCTTTGCTAATCTTTCAGAACTGACCAGACAAACCAAGTTTCCATTTCTTCTTAGGGCAAAAGGCAAATAAACATACATGTGCACTTACAAAAGCAAGTTTCATGTAGGCAGATTATCCTTAAGAGTCACCAGAGAACAAAACATGAACAGTAAAACATACACAGGCAAGGGAATGAGTAAGGATCCAAGTGCTGGTACATGTTACAATAGGAATAAACACCAAACACCTGGCCAAAGGCCGACACACAAAGTACAAAGTTGTGTAAAACACCGTATAACTCGCCTAATATAAACACTGCGAACAATCAAACTCGTAGGGGCACAAAGCAAGTTGATGGTTGCCTGTGGCTGGGAGTAGGAGGAGGATGCCTTCCTGCTCAGTGCTTAATAGGCCCAGGCCTTCTTTTGAAGTGCTGAGCACGCTTTGGACAGAGGCTGCCTACACAGCACTGCCAAAGCCATGAATGCTAAGGGGCTGCACCTTGCCTTTCAGGAGTTTCAATATTGAAAAACAAAATAGTTCTAGAACTAGGTTGCACAGCAATGGGACTGAATTTACTAAAACTGAGCTGTGTCCTTGAAACTGTCAAAACAGGTCAGGTGGTGGTGGCACACACCCGAATAACAGTACTAAGAAGGCAGAGGCAGGTGGATCTCTGTGAGTTCAAAGCCGGCCTTGTCTACATAGTGAGTTCCAGGAAAGCCAGGGCTACACAAAGAAACCTTGTCTCACTTAAAAAAAAAAAAAAAAAAAAAACTTAAAAAAAAAAAAACCTTAAAAAAATCATTGAGGATATACTCCACCCTCAAAAAAATGTTGAAACAGCAAAATGCATGTTTATTTTTAATCACCATGTACAAATAAGCCTCTAAATTGAGGCTAAATTATTAAACTGTGCTGTTGCAATTTTAATAATTAGACAAATGACAATCTGAAAGAAACTAAAATTAACATAGTTTAGATGTGGATACACATCACAACAGTACAATAAACTTGACTCTATCAACAAAAAGAATAACCTAAGTAAAATAGCACCTGGTATAGAAGTTACTGCCTGACGCTGGATGGTGGTGGCACACACCTTTAATCCCACCACTCAGGAGGCAGAGGCAGGCGGATATCTTAGTTCAAGGCCATCCTCATTTACAGAGTAAGTTCCAAGACAGCCAGGGCTACACAGAGAAACCCTGTCTTGGAAAAAAAAGAAAATTCACTGGCACATTAAAAACACCAAAAGAAAAAGAAAAAGAAAAAGAAAAAGAAAAAGAAAAAGAAAAAG